GGGGACAGAGAATCAATTCAGACTCAGCAACCTTATCAGTTCCAAGTAGAGGAATGGCCAGACCATGTGGTCACTGCCTTAGCTGGAGGAAAATGAAGAACTGAGAATAAAACAGCAAACTACCTAGATGTCTCTGAAGAATTATAGATAAATAACTGAAGGGATCCAGACAACTAGACAGCCTGCACCGCTGGAGCCCAGGCATTCCGGATACCCTGCTCACAGCCTCCAGGAGCCAGAAGGCCGGATGAGGAAAACACCACACATAACCATTCTTTTCAATCTACATTGAATTACATCAATTCTTGGCATTGTGGGAGAGGGAAGGTGGGTCCAAATAAAAGATGGTAGGTAGGCTATAGAAGGAAGTTGGAAACAACAATCTCTTATTAGGGAAAGAGAAACAGGAAAGGAGTTTTGTGGCCTCCCAATTTTCAGGTTTCTTGGGCAATGTTGTCTCCTCCCAAGAGTTGAAAACCCATGGCTGCCCTCAGAGCCCTGATTAATGGAAATGGAGGTTTTCAGAGGAGCTCCATAGTCTATTTAATTCTCCCCCTCCCTGACTCTAGAAATGCTTGATTTGGCTGTGTAAAAATAATTCTAATTATAGTGATTTACATGAAATACTTACCATTTATGCCTAATTATCTCACAGCACAATAACAATTATGCATACATTAAATGTGTCAGATTAACCTGGTTGTTATTCGATAACAAAAGTAAAGTGTTCATAAATGTTTATTCTTCATAGTTTGTTGCTCATATACCCTGGTCATCTGGCCATAACTCTTTCTACTAGAGAAAATATTGTCACATAGGTAAGTGATAGCAGCCTACTGTTTTGCCACTTCTTTTCATTGATTATTAAATCTGACATTTTGTGATTAAGGTACATTTTAATATTATAGCTTAGACTTATGTAGAAAGTTTCTTATGAGTGTAAGAGGAAAAAACGTGAGTCTACCACAATGAATATTTAAGTATCAATATTAAAAACAAAATTCAATGCCCTTCATGGTGTGAGTAAAACAGGGGAATAATGTTAAGATGCGTGGCTGTCTTTTGAATCTTGGTAGCGTAGTGGTTACGAATCGGGCTGTGAGCCTTAAAGTCAGTAGTTCGAAACTACCAGCCGCTCCACAGGAGAAAGATGAGGCTTTCTGCTCCCGTAAAGATTTACAGCCTCGGAAACCCTGTACAGGATCACTATGGGTCGGAACCGACTCGATGGCACTTAACAGCAACAGCAGCAACCATTGTAAACGGTTGGAGGAAGACAGGAATAGCCAGAAACATCACTACAGAAAACTTGTCAGTCTGTCTTCAGTCTACAACTGAGTGTAATACCCTAAAGGGGGCTAGAAGTTGTCCAGTAAACTTCCTGTGGAGCCTTTACATTGCATAAGACCATAGGTGGAATCCAGAACCCCATCCAGAATCATCTGAGGTAGGATATTTCCACCAGAAAGGACGAGCAGAACAGCCCAGAGCGGCCAGAAGAATAGACGATACTTCATGAAAAAAAGACTGGCAGGAAAAATCTGAAACAATAACGGCAGTCGGATTGCTTACTACAAGAACAAGTAAGTTGTTCACCTGGGAGTCATCAAGGCAAGTGATCGGGACCCCTCAGAGCAAACTCCCTTCCAAGACTGAGACTCAAGGGGAATACAAGCAGGCAGGTGGTCTGGCTGGTGACCACGTTGACCACCAATAAGGGGAAGAGGGGGAAAAACCAGCAATGAAGTTGTGAGCTAAGTCAAACCACATTCAATAGACCCCTGTGACCTAGGTGAAGACTTGGATGGCCAGCAGTTAGGCAAGACCCGGGGACTCCTGAGCCCAGAGGCAGTGACATGCCAACAGAGTACTAGAACATAGAGTGAATTGTCCAGCTGATAGGAAGTGAGGGGAGATATACAAGAACACCCATATTTGCAGATAGCACCCACTTGACCTGGCTTTGATGGCTGGATGATCAGAATTCGACTATAAGAAGAAAGGGAGGGGGGGAGTAACCTGCTACAATTTGACGAACTTTACCTATACTTACGGATGTAGTAGCTCAAAAAAGGGTACAAATCTTCACAGTGAGGATCACTCCCACCCCCTCAGTACATAGGATTGACAGGGAAGGGCAACTTAGACATTGGCTACCCAAAATGGGGGTGCCTATAAAGGCAAGAATGGAGTTCTGGTGTGGCACTGTGGGTTAATGCGCCAGACTGCAAAGCCGTTTGAACTGCAAGGTCGGCAGCTCAAGCTCACAACGACAACATAAAGGCAAGAAGTGACTGGATTACAAGCTTTCAAGAGGGAGCCTAGTTCCAGATGGGGGAGTGGGGGTAGAATCTCCACTGAATGATTTCCAATTTGTTAGGACCGGACTGGCAAAAGGAAAGTGGATAAGAATCTTGTAGTACAACAGTGAATAATTGCCATCAGAACTGACTGTGAGGGTAGGAAATATAGAGGTAGATGTTTTTTGACAAAAGAAGGGAAGAGATTAATTTTGCAGCCCAGGAGCGGAGGTCCCTGGGACCATCAGGTGAGAAGAGCAGAGATAGGGACCCTACCCAGAGAGGTAGAGACGCCAGGAATGGAGACAAAGACGATGATGTGGACAGATGGAGCAGCTGGGGACACTGAACTCAGGGAGGGAGAGGGGCTGTGTGCTGACACCCGGCGGATCTGTGGGGTGTACCCTTTGGTTATTTGATGTTGCATGAGGGGATTGTAATCATTGCAATGAAATGAAATACGATAGGATGAATGCAAAACTGATATTTTTTCCATGTAAACCTCACAATAAAAAACTTAAAAATATATATATTAACAAGAAAAAAAAAATTCAATGCCCTTAAAACCATAAATCATATATACCAGAATTAAGAACGCTACAAATAAAGTTTTTCTCCCACTGGAAAACCTAACAACCCAAATTTCCCTTCCCTTTTAACCAATGTTCTGGATTAAATTGTTCCCCCTAAAACTACTGGTTGTAAATCCTGACCCAAGTCATGATATTTTCAATAACCTCATATGCATGTGAAAGCTGGGCAGTGAGTAAGGAAGACCATAGAAGAATTGATGTTTTTGAGTTATGGTGTTGGAGGAAAATATTGAAAGTGCCATGGGCTGCCAAAAGAACCAATAGATCCATTTTGGAAGAAGTGCAGCCAGAGTGCTCCTTGGAGGCCAGGATGTCCAAACATCGTCTTTCATACTTTGGAGATATTGTCAGGAAGGACCAGTCGCTGGAGAAGGATATCATGTTTGGTAAGGTGGAGGGTCAGAGAAAAAGAGGAAGAGCCCCAACGAGGTGGATTGGCCAAGTGGCAGCATCAATAGACTCAAGCGTGGCCACAGTAGTGAGGTTGGCCCAGGACCTGGCAGTGTTTCGTTCTGCTGTGCATAAGGTCGCTATGAGTCGGTACCAACTCGATGGCACCTAACTACAACAAACCCATATTTGATTTTGATGATTCAGAAGATGAAATTTGGGATTTATGGGACAATGTGATGAGGTGAATATGTTTTGCATGTGGCAAGGACATGAATTTGGGGTGGGGGGGTTCAAAGGATGGATTGTTTTGGGTTGAACTGTGTCTCCCAAAAATATGTTTTAAATCCTAACCTGTATGTCTGACGTTGAGTCCTGGTGTGGTGGTATAGGGTAAGAACTGGACTGGATCTCCACCAGCTGTTCTCAGAAACCTCAAACAGAGTTGCTATGAGTGGAACCAACTAGAAGGCATAATAAACAACATTCCTGAAGCTATAATCCCCTTTGGGAGTGGGCTGTCTTTGTTATGTTAATGAGGTAGTCATAGTGTAGGGTGTGTCTTGAGTCAATCTCTTTTCAATAATAAAAGAGGTTAAACAAGCAATCCAGAGAAATACAAATGGAGGCAGAGGGCAAGCACATGAAAATTGAAAAGGGGGCAGAGATGACCAGCAGCAGAGTTCAAACAAGATCAACACCTTCCTTCAACAACAGAGAAGTAAGTGTCCAAGGCATAACTTGACATATGAGGCTCACAGGACAATGCCAGAGACTGATGCCTACTTCTTATTTGCAGAAGTCTGAGCCCAGAAGGCTGAGTGAAGCTGTTCATGCAGTAGGAGTTAGAGAAAGATGTTATCCTTTCTTCGACCTAAATTTGTTGTTGTTAAGTGCCATTGAGTCAGTTCTGACCCATAGCGACCCTGTATAGGGTTTCCAAAGAGCAGCTAGTGTGAGCTTGAACTGCTGACATTGCAGTTCAAACCAACTTTTCAGTGCAGCGCATTTAACCCACAGCGCCACACCAGGACTCCTTGACCTAAATAGATATCATAAAAGGTGTAAGGGAAAGGATGTCCCAGCAGCATGAGACGATGTGCAATGCTCCATCATAAGAGGTCAGTCAGGGAAGGGTACAATGCTGAAGTCCACAAGGGTGGTCTTGCAGAACCCACCGTGTCCCTCAACAAAGATTATCTGCTGCACCAAAGGGTCCAACAGCTATGTCACTCAAATTGTTCATCCCCCTCACTGTGACTCTAGCAGAGGACAAGAAGAAAAACTGAAGAGCAAATCACTTCCTCTTTCCTACTGCTGATCCCTAGGCTATGCCTGAGCTATTGTTAAGTGCCTTTGAGTTGGTTTAGACCCATAGCCACCCTATATAGGGTTTCCAAGGAGTGACTGCAGTTCAAATAAACTATGCAGTCCAGCGCATTAGACCACAGTACCAAAAGGAATGAGAAATGCTTTGAATTACATAGATGCTTTCAATGTTCTTTAATACCAGCATATAAAGTGGTTTGAATCAGTGAAGGTAAATAAAAGCTATGGCATATCAAGCGGTCAGGATTGGAGTTACATCAGAGCTTGTTTTAAAAAACAGGTGGGAACATTTCAAGCTGTTTCATGATAGTACCCTATTGTGTTTAATCCATTTAATACAATGCTTATGTTTTTAACTGTTTAATCTGTAATATTACACAAACCTCACCTTTGAAAAAAGACCCTCTGCCTCTATACTGTATCCTTTGAGGTCCTCATGTAATTTCTGCAAACACTGCATGACCCTTCTTTGATTTTCATCGTCCTTTAGCTCATGAGCTTTGATCAGAAAGTCATAGTGGTCCAGAGGTCCGTGGCAAGCAGCCAATGCTTTTGAGTAAGCCTCTGTTGCCGTAGTCAGGGGCACGCTGTCGGGTGTCTGAACTGTATAGGCTGTAAACAAAAGGACATATGTAAAATTTTAGACTTCCATAAAGAAGATATCACACAGTACTCTACATATGTTTATTAATGGTCACATTAAAACTTTCACCAATTATATCTGAGCAGTTTTTGTATATCATTTTTGTCAAAATAATAACACAAAACACATTTTGCACAGTAAATTGATTTATAATTGTTTCACTTTAATGGGATGCTATAAACCCCAAACCAATCATTTATCATTGGAATCTCTCTCCTAGAAAGTCCGGTGGGCTCTAGAGTCTCTACATTGCAATCATTCCATCCTGAGTTTATCAGATCCTGCCCAATGGCAGGGTTGGTGTCTTTCTTTGAGGAGGGCCTAGGCACTGAGGCAGAGCCGTAGAAATTAGGCACATAGGACTTTCTAACTGCTCCTTTACTTTCTATCTAAATTAACAAAACCTCGAATTGTTATTACACCGATGCCAGTTCTTTGTTGAAAAGATTTCTTCCCTTTTCCATAACATTTTGAGGGCTGAACACAGAGTGAGGACATAACACGGCATCTGTCTGAAAGATGGATAGTGTTCTGGTTCTTTTTACAGACTTTCCTGGGTCAGAAATGATTGGTTGTACTGACTTCCACTCATAATCCCTTCACCATCTGGGGCAGGTTCAACAAGCAAGTATGTTTAAGAAGCAAAAATTAATTACAGCAGCAATCTGACACATTTCTTAGACAAATATATCTCAAAGATACTTTGAGAGTATTTCATATATTTCACTGAATACCACACTTTGTTTGTGGCAATAATAAGAAAATGACTTACTAGGAGGACAATGAACAGTCACAACATTAGTCCCATATTTTTCCCGAGAGGGGTTAAAAATCATGAAATATCCCAATGTTCAGGATAGGGCAGGGCTGTCTGGCAATATCTATTCTCCCTTTCAGAACAGTAACTTTAGCTGAGCACATGACTGTCCAGGTAAATATTGTATTTTCTGGTCTCTTTTGCAGCTAGGTATGGTCACATATTGCTGTTGTTGTTAATTGCCTTCGAGTCGGTTCCAACTCATCGCAACCCTGTATAGGGTTTTCAAGGGTTTTAAATCTTTGTGGGAGCAGAAAGTCTCATCTTTCTCCCATGCAACTGCTGCCAGACTTGAACCACAGAACTTGTGGTTTGCAGCCCAGTGCTTACCATATGGAGCAATCAGGTTTTAACTAATGAGATGTGAGTAGATATGTACATGGTGGTGGTGGCTGTGTGCCGTGGAGTCGGTTCCGACTCACAGCAACCCTGTACAGGGTTTCCGAGGCTGTAAATCTTTACGGGAGCAGAACGCCTCATCTTTCTCCACAGAACGACTGGTAGTTTCAAACTGCTGACCTTGCGGTTCGCAGCCCTATTTGTAACAACTATGCTACCAGAGCTCCTATGTACATAGTCCTGGTCTATATACTTAAAGAGAAGGTGCATCCTCCCCTCTGCTTTTTCCTCCCCTCCCTCAGACTAGAAGGCAAGTGTGGTGACAGCACCTGGAAAAGCAACTGGGCAATGAGATACCCACAAAATGCTGAGCAAAGCAGAGCAACAAGTTAGAAGGAGTCCGGTTTCCCAGCAACATTGAGCTGCCAGACCAGCTCTGCAGTGTCTACCTGGATTTTGATGTAAAAGAACAATAAACTTCCATTCTGCTTTTAAAACTGCATGTTTTGGGGTCTTTTTGTTACAGAAGCATCAATTGTATCCAGCTAATATTCATATTCATGGAGCCCTAGTGTGGCACTGCAGGATAATGCACTAGACCGCAAGATCGGTCTGAATTGAAAGGTCAGCAGTTCAAACTCACCAGTTGCTTCTAAGAAACTCTATACAGGGTTGCTATGAGTCAGAACTGACTCTGGGCACTTAATAACAGCAACAACCATATTCACATGGGGAGTGCAATGGCTCCATACAATAAGCACTTGCCTGCAACCCACAAGGTTCATAGTTCAGCCCACTAGCCATTCTATGGGAGAAAGATGAGGCTTTCTGCTTCAGCAAAGACCTGAGGCCTCCAAAACCCTTCACAGGATCACTATGAGTTAGTACTGACTCATAGCAACCCTATGTACATCAGAATGAAACATTGCCTGGTTCTGGGCTAACCTTACTATTGTTGCCATGCTTGAGACCACTGATGCTGCCACTTTCCCAATCCATCTCGCTGAGAGTCTTCCTCTTTTTCTCTGACCCTTCACCTTACCAAACATGATATCCTTCTCCAGCGACTGGTCCCTCCTGATAATATCTCCAAAGTATGAGAGACGAAGTTGGGCCATCCTAGCCTCCAAGGAGCACTCTGGTTGCACTTCTTCCAACATAGATCTATTGGTTCTTTTGGCAGCCCATGGCACTTTCAATATTCTCCTCCAACCATAACTCATTATGGTCTTCCTTATTCACTGTCCAGCTTTCGAATACATATGAGGTTATTGAAAATACCGTGGCTTGGGTCAAGCGTACCTTAGTCCTCAAGCTGACATGTTTGCTCTTCAACACTTTAAAAAAGGTCTTGTGCAGCAGATTTGCCTAATGCAATACGTCATTTGATTTCTTGGCTATTACTTCCTTGTGTGTTGATGGTTGATCCGAGAAAAATGAAGCCTTTGACCGCTTCAATCTTTTCTCCATTTATGTGGATGTTGTTTATTGGTCCAGCAGTGAGGATTTTTGTTTTCTTTACATTGAGATGCAATCCATACCGAAGGCTGTGGTTTTTGGTCTTCATCAGTAAGTATTTTCAGTCCTTTTCACTTTAAGCAAGCAAGGTTGTATCACCTGAATATTGCAAGCTGTTTATGAGTCTTCCTCCAATACTGATACCACATTTTTCTTCATAGAACCCAGCTTCTCGGATTATTCACTCAGCATACAGGTTGAATAAGTATAGTGAAAGAACACAATCCTGTCTATCGCACACCTTTCCTAATTTGAAACCATTCGGTGTTCCCTTGTTCTATTCACTGCCTCTTAGTGTCAGGTTTCTCATGAACACAATTAATTGTTCTAGAATACTCATACTTCACAATGTTGTCCATAGCTTGTCATGATCCACACAACTGAAGGCCTTTGCATAGTCAATAAAGCACAGGAAAACATCTAAATATTCATATAGGAGCCTCAAACCTACTACCTGTCTGTCAGTTTGCCCTACTATGGTGGCTTGCATGTTACTGTGCTGCCAACTAGGCCACAAGATATTTCAAATACCAGCAGAGTCACCTATGAACGATGGATATCAGTGAATCTTCCAGATTGAGATGGACTAGAAAGAAAAACCTAGTAATCTAACTCTGAAAAATTGTTGTTAGGTGCTGTCCAGTGGGTTCTGACTCATTGTGATCCTATGCACAACACAGCGAAACACTGCTTGGTCCTGTGCAATCCTCACAACTGCTATTATGTTTGAGTCTATTGTTGCTGCCACTCTGTCAGTCCATCTCCTTGGGTGTCCTCTTATTTTTCATAAACGCTGTACTTGATCAAGCATGATGTCCTTTTCCAGGGAGTGATCCTTTCTGACAACATGTTCAAAGAATGAGAGATGAAGTCTCACCATCCTTGCTCCTAAGGAATAGTCTGGCTGTACTTCTTTCAAGATAGATTTCTTTGTTCTTTTGGCAGTCCATGGTACTTACAATATTCTTCACCAACACCACAATTCAAATGCATCATTTCTACTACAGTTTTTCTTATTCACTGTCCAACTTTCACATGTATATGAAGTAATTGAAAATATCATGGCTTGAGCCAGGCGTACTTAGTCCTCAGACTGATTGACACCTTTTGTTCTTGACTATTTTAAAGAGGTCTTTTGCAGCAGATTTGCCTAATGCAATAAGTCATTTGATTTGATTCCTTGAGTAGCTAAGCAAAATGAAGTCTTTGACAACTTCAGTTTTTCACCGTTTACCATGATGTTATTTGTTGGTCCAGTTGCAAGAATTTTTATTTGCTTTTTAAAACTGAGGTGTAAGCCATACTGAAGGCTGTAGTCTCTGATCTTCATCACTAAATAGTTTAAGTCTTCTTCATTTCCCACAAGCAAGGATGTATCATCTGCATATCAGATGTTGTTAATTACTCTTCCTCCAATCCTGATGCCATGTTCTTCTTTACATAATCTGTTTCTGGAATAATTTGCTCAGCACACAGATTGAGTAAGTATGATGAGAGGATACAACCCTGGTGCACACATTTCTGATTTTAAACCATTCACTATCCACTTGTTCTGTTCTAGTTACTGCCTCTTGGTCTATGAACAGATTCCTCATGAGCACAATTAAATGCTCTGTAATTCCCATCACAATGGTATCCATAGTTTTCTATGACCCACACAGTCAAATGCCTTTGCACAGATTGTAAAGCACAAGTAAACATCTTTCTGGCATTCTTTGTTTGCAACCAAGATCCAATTGACATCAGCATGATATTCCTCGTTCCATATCCTTTCTGAATCCGGCTTGAATTTCTGACAGCTCCTTGTAGATGTATTTCTGTAACTGTTTCTGAATTATCTTCAGCAAAATTCTTCTTACATGAGATATCAATGACATTGTTCAATGATTTCAGCATTTCACTGGGTCACCTCTCTTTGGAATGGACATAAATATGGATCTCTTCCAATCGGTTAGCCAGGTAGTTGTCTTCCAGATTTCCAGGAATAGACAATTGAGCACCGACAGGTCTGTATCGGTTTGTTGAAAGATTTTAATTTGTATTCCATCAATTCCTGGAGACTTGTTTTCCACCAATGCCTTCAGTGCAGCTTTGACCTCTTCCTTTAGTACCATCAGTTCTCAATTATATACTAATTCTTGAAATGGTTGAGCATTGACCAATTCTTTTTGGTACACAGGTATAACTAGTTTTTAAAAATCAGTCCATGAAAATCTTACGATCACTACAGAACATTGCCCAGCTTGCTTGCTTTGAACTCATCAGAAAGAATCAATCGTTGGAGGAGGGCATCAT